AAGACTTGAATACAGAAATAATGACAAGTTATTTTCCAATTTTTAGACGTCAATTGATACGTTCATGCAATTGAAAATTAACGAGTGGACTGTCATATATTTATTTATCGTTTAGTTCATAGATATAAATAGAAATTTAAAATTTTTGTAAAAGAAAACACTGTTGTAAAACCGTTTGAGCTATATGATTATGAAACAAACAGCACTTTCGTATCAAAAACTTTACTCGGATTCGCTTCTCTTTAGGACAAGCATAATTGTGTCTCTTTTTTTTTTAGGCTGTTATATATTATCCATTGAAAAGGAAAAGAACAATGATAATATATAACATACAAATCAAAAGTAAAGTGTTTAGATGTGATAGCATGATGTAGTTAAACAACAGTACCCCAGATGAAGCCTAGACACTCCAATATTATGTTATTCAGACACTCTGATACCACAGGTTACCCCACAATAACAGCTCATTTCTGCGTGCGCTGCGTCGGTCCGCCGCGATTCTTATTCTAACTATATTGCTTTGCTTTTCCTCAAAAAAAAAAAAAAAATATATATATATATGTATATATTATATACATAATATATATAAGTGTGTATATATATAATGAGCTTTGCTCGCCATACCTGCTTGTGGTTTCTCCAACAATGACGTTCCGCCACGTGGCATCTCACACCGCAAGGTCATGTCACAGTTGAATTTAGAAAAACATATACAGACTAGATTAGCAATAAGGAGAAAGAGAGAGAAAAACTTAGATGGCATATGGATATGAATCTTCGAATGGAATTTTAATTATTGCCGTAAAAGGGAAAAAGCATACAAAACAAGGTAGCGAGACAGAATTTTGGCGATGGATGTGCATTTAGATGATCAGGAATTTATTCCAAGTGAAAGAAAGTTACTACTAAGAAAAAAAAAAAGGATAAATAAATTTGTACAATTACTTTATATCTCATTTGGAAATTCAATTTCAACTTTACTTGGTATCAATATCTGTATCAGGCTGCTCAGGGGAAGGTGTATTTGCCAAGTTGTAGGCTGAAAATAGTGTGCACTCTTGTGACGTAGATGTGCACGTTTGCATCCATGTGGGCAATCACATGAAAAACGTTCACGTTAATAAGATGGTTCATTTTAAAATTAGCCGTCAAAAATAAAAGTTATCTCACTTTGCCCTTCACAATTTAAAATGGAACAGAACTCATTTGAAGCGTAAATACATTATAATGATCGGTTTTAATCACTTGTGGGGTTTATGTGATTAATTCAGGGTAATTTTATAACGGTCTTAATCCGTGGGGGGGTGCCCGACAAGCATTTGTGTACTATTAAAAAATTGACCCCTCACTGACATAAATACTAAAATTGCTTATGATAATCTCATGAAGAAGTTTGTCTTATTTTAAGTTTTAGGGGATAAAATTAGACAACCGCCATTATTTAGGGACCAAATTTGACATTATCCTAATAAGATATATAGGAGGTGAAAAAAATCACTAACAAAACGTTTTATCCCAATATCCCAACCCATCTTTAGAGATTATATAAAAAAAATGTACTTTTATTCACACCCGCCTTTTTATTCTCTACATCGCTCTTTTAAGTACTACACACCTTAATGACTTTTAAATAGTTAAATTTATCTTTTACACACCTTTATTATTCCAAAATCACCCCTCACTATTTTTATAATATTATTAATTATTAGCCACCTCATTTTTTTATTTTTTTCATAATATTATTAACTTTTTCACTATTTTCAGGATATGACATGTGGGGTGTGTAGTTAAAAAAAAAAAAAAAAACATATCATTAGTGTCCTTTATGTAATGATCATAATCATGTAACTTGTCTATTAGAATTGTCCTTTTCGTCATTTTATGTGAGGATATTTGCGAAATAAAAAATTTTAATATAAAAAGGGTGTGAAGAGAATAGAAAGGCGGGGGGAATAGAACCACCCTTAAGAAAATTAGAGAATGTGCTTAGATATTTAACTCAGCTAGTTTTGTGTGCTTTTCTCAACTCTGTTGCTCTTAAATTGGTACATAAAGGGAGAAGTGGGGACACAATACTTATAGTACTTGAGCAATGGCGTAAATCTTTGTGCTTTCTAACTAGAAGGGCATTCCTTTAAATTTCCACCTATCTCAGGTAGAAAGAAAAAGAGAAAATTGCTCCACTTATGTTTAGTGTGCCTCTTATTTTTTATTAATACCCTTTTCACTAATACAATTATTTAACTAAAAAATATTAATAAAAAATAAGGAGTAAGAATCTAAACTTATACACTTTAAAGAAAATTTATCTCCTTTCCTAAAATATATATATTTTTAATTAATAACCCAAGTGTCAAACATTCTTAACGTTAATCATTCCATTTTGATTATATTTTTACGTATCATGTTAATTTTGATGAATGAGGTCGTACTTTTGTACGAGCCTAAAGAAACTGGTGTGGTCCTAATGATAATAATAGTAATAATAAATATTTATTATTATTGTTATTGTTATTACTTGTTGACGGTAAAAATTCGTCAACAGAATAATAACGAATTTCTAAATGGTTTACGCGAATTAAATGATTTAAAACACAATTAAAAGTGGAATTTAAACAAGAACACATAGAATTTATAGTGCTTCACCCTCAATTCGAGAGCTACGTCCACTGCGGAGAAGAGAGAAACTTCACTATCTTTGGAAGAATTACACGCACTAATACTCATAATCAGACTTAGGGATTTTCTGACTCGTAATCCCTTATTTATAGTTTAAGTCACCGCCTATAAACTTTCCCTATTTGAATTTGGGTTATTTCCCTTATTTGGGATGGTTTCTCAAAAGATAGAGATTACAATCAATTAGGTTAGTTTCTTTATTTAAATTTCATATATTCGGTTTACAAAGAGCAAATCTTGAAGCAAATCTCGTGAGTCTCATCTCTTGTGTAGCCTCGACTTTGTGAACGCTTTCAGAAGCTTCTTCGCCTACGATTGCAGGTACGGTTGGCTTCATATTATCCTTTGTATCCTATCAGAGCAGTCGACCTCCTTCATATGCCTGACACTTCTTTCTAGCAATCGGCTCCTAAGAGAGTTGTCCGCTGATGTTACAGCTAGGGTTTAGTTGTCATTGACTATTTAATGCTCTTATTTAGGGAGTGTGGGTCTCATGCAAGGTTTAATTTATGGTCCTGAGTTTTACCCTACAACATTATTATAATTATTATTATTATTATTATTATTATTATTATTATTATTATTATTTTATTAGGCTTATGTTAATAAAAATAATAAAATCCTTTCAAAGATATTATAATAAAACCTATTGAAATTTTATAGGCTTATGTTAATTTTATTAAGTAACTTATTTAAGAGAAAAGTACATGACTTCTCATCAGGGCAGAGGGAGGTTATGCCGAGGGAGTATATCGATATGCCCCCTAAATTTTTGAAATTTTGTTTTGTTGCATGTAGTTTTGCAAAAATTTGTATGTACACCCCCCTTGATTTTTGAAAATTTGTTTTGTTAAATGTAGCTTTTCAAATTTTTTACATGTGCCCGCTCGATTTTTGAAAATTTTTTTTGTTGCAAGTAGTTTTTCAACAAATTTTTTATATATGCCTCCTCATTAATAAGATTTTATACATACCCCTTTTTAACAAAACCTTTTCTAATTTATTCCTATTTTTTTTTTCAAATATGTCTTTATTTAAATTTTTTTCCTTTCTAATTTATTTACCCATGTTGAAATAATTTTTATTTTTTCAAATGTGCCCTACTTAAATACTTTTTTTATTTCATATGTTCTTGTAGTTCTTTAATACAACATTTACATACTTTTCAACAAATTTCTCTACTGAAATAATTTTAATATGTCTTTACTTACATATCTTTTTTCTTGCATCCTTTTCAAATATTATTTTCTCTTATGTACCTCTACATAATTTTTTTTTTCAAGTTTGTCACATCAAAATGATTTTTAAGTGCTCTAGTTAATTGTTTTTCACTAAACTATAAGCATTAGAGAATAATAAATCAGGTTAAAGCTAAAGTTTATGAAAATTATATTCAATAAATTGAATATTTATGTCATTCAAAATATTATATAATAGTATTAAGAGTTGATAAAATCTTGACTCTATCACTGTTTGTCATGATTTTATGCATACCTATTATATATTTATGTCATTCTAAATAATTAAGTAATGTCATTATGTCCTTTATTTTTTCTTTATTAATTTAATGACAATTATTGATTTTTTAATTGAGTGACATAAATAATATTTTTTAGGTAGTATTTATGTTTTTTTTTCCATTGTTTAATAACTTAGCATTTTTATGTTTTAATCTTAACAACGTTGCTAGCTTGAACCAAAGGCACCACGATTTTCACGCGGTGTTGAGGGCCATTATTCTTTAGCTTTCTTTCAAATATTAGCTACCCCTTCTATCACCTTCGCAGTCCTTTTTTTCTTTTTTCTTTTTTCTTTTTTTTTTTCTCTTAGGGTCTTTTGAAACTGGATATATGGGTGACCATTGGAATACTTGCCAATGTTTGTTTTTTAGCAATAATGAATTGGGGAATCATGTAAAGAAAAGGGGCATGGGTCATGGGTGGAATTTTATTTCTGTGCATGAACTCAAGACTCAACTAGTAATTACTTCCCATCCGTACAGAGAGAAAGAGAGGATAACACCTCTAATTAATATATATATATATATATAGAGAGAGAGAGAGAGAAAGAGAGAGGGAGAGAACTAGCTAGTTGAGTAAAGAATCTATATTTTAAGAAAAACATACTCGTCTAATGAATAAGGATTCCATACTAAGAGAGGAGAGAGAGAGACTGAGCCAGGTGAAGGGAATAAAAAGGGAACATGGACCCCGCATATGAGGACCTTGAACAACTATATAAACCTTCCAAACCCAAACAACAAGATCACCAACTCATTGACAAGTTCTTCTACTACAACAAACACAAACCACCAAGTACTGTTGTTACAAACCCTGTTCTTCTTAATTTCAAGCAAGCCCTTTACTTCCCTTAAGGTGAGACTCTTCTCTTCTTAATTCTACTGTTCTTTTCTGCATTACCCCATCATAGTTTTCTAAGCTTGAAACTTGTATTAAGCTTTTGTTACAGTAAAATCTTCATCTTCAAGAGAAAAGGGTATTATTATTATTATTATATAGTAATAGTGCAATTCTGGCATGCTTTCCATTGTTTTTCTATGTGGCATTATTTTATGTTGGCTAGCTATCAAGTTGTTATTTATATTACATACAACTATATAAATATAACACCTTAGGTATTTAGCCTTTGACTTTTCTTTAGGCCCCTATAATAACATGACATGATCATCAAATAGTTTAGAACAATAATATTATCATCTTTTTCTGATTTTTGTTGCTTGACATGTTGAACAATCAAGGCAGAAGACAAAATGCAGAGCTGGGGATCAGGAGACTGGATGTGTGGTGCATGCCAGCATTTGAATTTTAAAAAGAGGGATCAATGCCAGCGCTGCCAGTACCCCAAGTACGGCGGCCCTGACCCCTCAACATACGCATACAACAGGACTGAGGTCTTGGCCGGCGATTGGTACTGCAATGCCATGAACTGCGGGGCCCACAACTACGCTAGCAGGTCGCAATGCTACATTTGCGGTGCCTTGAAAAATATGATTGGTTCCGATGGCTGCAGTGTGCCCGGGTGGAAAACCGGTGACTGGTTTTGCACTAGGTGAGTGAATTGATTGACATATGACATTCTTTCTGTTTTGTTCTTTTTAAACATATATTTTGAGCCCAATGTTGGTGCTGAAATTTTTTGAAGCCTAGAAGAGTAGTATTTCATAAGCTTCGAGAAGCAAACTAGTGCACGTAGGATTTTAAAATTCAAAAGAATTGGCGGCCTGCATTGATTTTCCACATATATACTGTCTCTAGATTTCTCATTCATTCGTTGCATTGATTCCCATTTAAAACAAAGTACTTTAAACAAAGTCAATATGTTTAATACATGATGCTTTTCTAGTCACATCTTATTTCTAGTGTATATCAAGAACTTGATAAACAATATTATCACTTTCGGCCTAGATCAGCTTGGTTTTTCTCCTGTTTATACCAGTGGGAGATGTACGTCATTACTTATGAATCGTCACTTTTAACTTTCCGCAGACGATCTTGTACTATACTGTTTACCCTTTCTTGATCCTTTTTGCCTCAAGGGATTGATAACCGTTACATCTACAGTAGTAAATACATTCATAAAAAATTTAGAGAGAGAGACACTACTGCATACAACTTCATCTGTATTAGGCCTAGGTTTGTTGCTTAATGTGAGTGTTTTTTCTATGGCTCAGAGTTGGATGTGGAGAACACAACTATGCTAACAGGACAGTTTGCTATAAATGCAAAACGGCAAGGGATTATGGTATGGACTCCTGCTTATCATTATCATGATTACTTTTTTTTTTTCTTTTTCATTTTTTAATTTTTTTTTAATTTTTTATTTTCCTTTTAGTATGTGAGAGAGGTTTAATATGTGATCTTGGGAATGTTATGTTTTTCTGCTGCAGTTATGTGACAGAATAATGATTGTATTTTCAGGTGGCTCGGAATAAGACGAAAACGAACAATTGAAAGATATTTCAATTTTCTCTTCACGACATCCTTTCTCTCACCAATGGCTTCCTTCTCTCTCCTTTTCTGAGATCAATAAGCTTAGATTTATCCATGTTGAAGGCTTCCTTTTTTTTTTTTTTTTTTTTTTTTTTTTTACATAATTAGGAAGGGTTTCTAGTTTTTATGTTGCAATTCTGACATGAATCCTCTGAAATCCCTTATTTTCTTTTCTATTTTGCATTAATGAAGTACTATATTTGCAGTACCTCTCTCTCTCTCTCTCTCTCTCTCTTTCTCTCTCTAGAGTTCTGTATGTTTGCAGGGAACATAGATTATAGAACACTACTATGAAGTGGTCCAACCTTAATATTAATTGTTGCTAAGACCATCAGAAAATTTGAAGATAGCAATAATAGGGGAAAAAAAAACAGATCTTAGATTCAAGGAATCTCAATGAGTTCCCTTTACAAGACAGGTTATATCTCTCAACTCAATAATTTACGATCCCTTTAAGCATCAGATCTCCAGGAAATGAACAATTATTCAGATAAGAACCAGATGCTCTGTCTTCAAAAGCTAGCATAGATGCAATATCCAAGTTCAAAGTGAGTCAAACTCAACTTTTTTTTTCTTTTTTTTTCCTCTCTTTTCACCCTTCCCTATAGCTTTTTCCGTTTCATTTGAGGGCATAATTGCACTACAAGTAATATTATTACATGTCATTTGCAAGCCAAAATTGGACACAAACTCCATTTTAAAATATGAACTCGATAATAGTACACAAACACACACACAAATATTAGAATCACTTCATTGACTTAAATGCACTTCTAAGCATATTATTGGTTGAAAAGTGACCATTAAAAATAATGTTATGGTTTCCCTTCGACACTCCATTACATCGCTTTTAAAAGATTCTATGCTTGTTTATAAGCTACTTTTTATGCCTATATATGCTTTGAAGATGTTAAGAAATGGCCCAATTCTTGTGAATTAGTTCCCCAACCACATTACATGGGGTCCACATAACAGGGCCATCTGCACATATTGAATGCCTTCTTTTTTATTTTTTATTTTTTTTTTATTTGCGTATCTTAGTCAAGAAAAAGGTGCCAAATTGAGTAGCATATTATATGAAACTTCCTTGGGTCCTAGTTTGCTATCTCATCCGTGCAAACTATTTTTAGATAGAAAAGAAAATTCTAAGTTCCCAAAAACCTGTACACTATTATGATCTGACTGAATATGTAATGTCCTCCACTCCATCATCCAAAATATAAAAAATGTTTTAGTGGACTTTATCTTGTTTTCAATCATATATCATTCTGCAATAATAGTGCTAGAACAGGATGACAAATCTTATCATGAAAAGCCAATATAGTATGCTAGTAGAATTCTCCAATAGTTTTGTTTTCACACACCCACTCATCATCGGAATATAGAAGCACTTATAGCAGAACACTTGGTCTTGGTCTTTCACAATAATAGCGTTAGATCACCTTAAGAGTAACACGTGTCACACTAGGGTTCCACCATGTATAGATTGAAAGTGTCACATAGTTCAATTGATGATAATAAAACTTTCATTCCATCATAATAGGAGAATTGCTAAATATGCCTTTATGATCATAGTTATGAGGTGGATTTTGTGTTAAGAAGAAGGCCAGTTATAATCTAATTATGGCTTAAGTTTTGTTTAGAGAATTGGTAAGTTAATATGGTATCAGAGCATATAGTAGTCTTGAGTTCGAACCCCTATAATTACACTCCCTTTGTTTGTCAAGGTTTTGTTTAATAAATATTATTGTTAACAAAGTGTATATAATACTCTCATCTATGCATCACAACCAAAAGAAAGAAAACTGCTTGGGCGAACTACAGGTGCTAAACATGACAACTAATAGAAAGTGAGTCACATTTTATTAGTGGGTTCTGGTTATCACCACTAGAGCTCCTAGCTTTGTTCTAAAAGAAATCATACATTTGTTACCGGTTTATAAACCAAAACATCAAGTGAAGTTTGTTTGAAGTTAATAAATAGCATCACTGACGACAACGTTACATATGTTTTTTTGCATGGGCTTGCAATACACGTTTCCAACACATGCAGATATTAGGCCAACTGTATATATGCGTGTTTATATATTGAGACATTACCTCAACGGACCAAAAATACTGATAAAGAATTAATCAGAATAAGGATATATAGCTGTATCTTCACACATGAAAGAGGTCTTCAAAGGCCTTCTTTATTATATTCCCCATCTTCTCTGTCACTGACTCACTGTAAATATATATATACTAGATAAATAATAACGCCAACAAGGTTAGCCATATAGCCATTACCTTTGGTTGTCCTAAAGTGAGAAAAATTTATATGGAGCAAATATTCCCGTTAAAGATCACTTGTAGAACCCCGAAAAAAGAGAGAATAAAAAAATCTTTTTTATAAACCACTAGTTTTGTTTGTATCAACAATAACTTATATTCTGGTCAAACAAGAGCTACGAGAAAGACACCGTTTTCAGGCTTCTAGAATTACAAAATACTGTGGCGTGCAATAAGCCATTAGCCAATTGCCAATTAACGACAACGAACTGATATGATTCATGCAACCAGGCATGAATTTGTTAGCGAATTTTGGCCAGAAAATTTGTATGTATCTGTCAAAAAGGCAATTCTTATTTGCTTTGGGTTGGTGCATTTGGTGTATATTATTCACTTGCAGACTTTTGTCTTCTTCAAGCATTTGCTGCAAATCATGCATTTGTCATGGCAAGGATCGTACAATCTTGGTCACCACTGACAGGGTGGTGCAACGGTTAGAAAGCCTTTCCTTCTCCTGCTCTCAGAGTAGGTTCGAGATTTAATATTCTATAGCCCCACTTTAAAGTCCATGTTCGGTCAATAGATTGTTAAGAGTTGTTCAAGTAAAAGAGTGTAGTATTTCATAGTCCCACTTAGGAAAGACACAAGGCTTTGAGTACTACATAAAAAGCCACACTTCATAATAATTATGAAGGTATTAAGAGACACACCCTTGTGGCGCGCGCCGCAAGTGGCGTGGAAAGGCAGGTTATCCTCTGAAAGAGTGGTTCAAAATGTATAAAAGAGATACAGAGGATGCGAATTTACTCACCCTAATTACAATTTTCGTAATTCTCACTCTCTCTCCTTCCCAGATAATCCGTGTTCTTAATTTCTTTCTATGAATTTTCAGTTTTTACTTACAGCAAATCTCAACTGAGAGGAGGCAAATAACGCTTTAAAGAAGCGTATCAAATACGTGTTTCATGTGCACCAAATTTCTAACATAGAGTGGGTGACACTAAAGTTATAGTAGGAGAGTGAGACTGAGCCCTAAAATTTTTCTATACACGAAAAAGGATAAGATACAAAATGGCACTAATAGCCCCCTTTTCATCAACAAGGAGGACAATTTATACCAAATCGTTTTTCTTAATTACTAGTAAAATACGCACACGGGCTCATTTAAAACAACGATTATATAAATTGTCCAAAAAAAAGGAAAAAAAAAAAAAAGATAAAAGGGGGAAAAGAGCTTAAGCAAAAGGTAGGGAAAAAAAAAAGAGGTTGAAAAAGTTAAAAAAAAAAAAAAGCCCAAAAAATAAGTTTTGCTTCATGAAGGGGGAAGAAATCCCTTGCGAAACTCCTTGCGAAATGTTTTGCACCTGCTTCTTACGTGCGAAACGTTTTGTAAATATTGAGAGAGAAATTTATTTTTCTGTAATAATATAGTAAAGATAAAGATAAAGATATGTCCGAAAAGTGGACATTTTCATCTTGACCCCGAACCCCAGCAGCCAGCCCCATCCTCCCCCCCTCCCCCAAAGTAATGTTTTATTTTCATACTAAATCGTTTGTTTTCTATTTTTTATTTAGGGGACCAGTCAAACCCAAGTATAAGTGAATCAATTGGACCACATGATTTGACTAGGTAGCCTTTTATTTATTTATTTCTTTGAGCATAGTCCAAAGTTGGCTTTATTGTTGCAGCCAATTTTTGGGATGATTATAAAATATATACCATGTTTTGGATGGCAAAGAAAAGCAGATGAATGAATTGTTTATTATTTTTGCAAACAACCAAAAGCATGGCAAAGAGCTTGAATCTAGAAGCAATTGGGCAACTTTGCTAGATAAAAACAGCCCAAACCGGATCTCACTATTCTTAAAAACGACAGCATTTTAACGCAAAGTTCATTGTATTCTTGTAAAGTCTGAAGACAATGTCAATCTCACCTCAAGGAAAGCAACTTTATATCTATCATTCATAAGGTTGGTTGGAGGATTATATTTTTACTCCATTAGAGGAGCAGTTAATCTATAAGCTTTTGAGACCAAAAAATGAAGACAGTTAACATATAAATGGCTTTTTGACATTTTGTCCCTTGAATATTTATTATATATTTCTTTTAACAAGCTTTCTTCTAAATTTTAATTGTACAAAATTATTTTCTGGATTTAATAAAATGTTGCTAGAAGGAAATGCTCGCAGGCACAGAACATAACGTGATGTGATCCTCATCTAAAATTTCACTATTCCCAATGAGCAGCATGTAACATGTGTGAGGAAATTTTAACAGCCTATCATTTAGAGGCACTTTTGCAGTACTTTGCTATATTTAAGGTAATTTGTCACAATTAAAAATTAAGAGTAACTTCTCATGTTTAGGTGGGACAATGTCAAAATATACCTTAGAAAAAATTAAAGTTTAGATAAATATCTTACAACTTGTAAACCTCCTATGTAGGCGAAAACTAGCTACTATAAACGGAGAGAGGACATTCTACTTCTTGCCCACTCCGGAAACAGTTTTAGGCATATTTTTAACCAAAAAAGAAGAAAGCAAAAATAAATAAATAAATAAATAAATAATCTAGAGATTGTCAAATGCTTATTCAGCAATTTTCTATATTTGGTGTTCAATAACTTTTAAATGAACTTCGTGAAAGTAGGGTTTATAAAACAATGAAACAGAACCACCAAATAATCACTACTGGTTTTTTTTTTTTTTTTTTTTTTGGTAAAAAAAAA